TATATATATATATATATATATATATATATGACAAAGAAAAATTCCTTGTCATTCTTCCGAACAGACTATTGAATAAAATATTGAAGTTAATATCCAATTTTTAACATTCCAAAAATTCGATGTTTCGAAGCTGGATTTGCCCTATCATCAGGCAAGACATTTTTATTCAACACTGTACATTCTGTATGAAAACACATAAGAGGGTAGTCAACACTAGAACACCTGAAATTTACTTTATTATAAATTATACTAAATTCAAACTGTGAAACAAATTTAAACAAAAACTGTTTGCTAGTCTCCAAAAGTTCCAAGAAATCAAACGTCCCAGCCTCCATTACGGACAGACTTGGCCGGACGTGCCAATTAAGATAAAAATACCTCAATGGCGGCTGGAACGTTTGATATTTTGTAATAATAAAACGCACAACAGGTACCAGACTAATGAGCATAGCCGTTGTCGCCTTCAAAACATCAATCAGTCAACCAATCTATCAAATCAATCAGGTTCACAGAAACAAGAGACAAAATAATTTCTGAATCTATAAAAAGGAGGTATGTGCATTTTTCAAGAAAATTTTTTTGAAAAACGTGTATATATTTCAAATATTTATTTAAGTAAAAAATGATGATAACATTTACAGTTTCCTTATTTCCTTGTTAAAACACATTCACAGGAAAATATAATGAAAGTAGACCTATTTTTATGGTAATGCTATATCTACAGTAAAATTATTTATTATTATTATTATTATTATTATTATTATTATTATTATTATTATTATTATTATTATTATACTTTGACACCATGAATAGTTCAATGAAGCATGAAAAATTGTTATAACTACACAAACTACTTGTTATCACAAATTTTTAATTTTCTAGTAGGAATAAAAAGTTAAGTGTTACACATTAGAGATTTAAAAATTGCGAATAATTTTATTGCTCTTCAATCTCATTTTTTACTTTTTCGCCTTACGAATAGTTTGTAAGATGAGAAAGTTTTTTTTTTGCTTGTCTTCAAATATTTACTTTCTCATCATGTACTATATAGTACAGGGAACAGTATTTAAGTCACCTGTGTTGAGAACAAAATAACAATAGACTTAAATGTTCCAAAGTTTAAATGTTTTCCTTGTATTGATAGGAAATCTCATATCATCATTTCAGTATCTAAGATCTGCCCTTAGATATGAATGTTGATTTTATGACCATTTTGTATCATAACCGCTAATATGTGCTTTTCAAAAATTAGTTATTTCAAGTTAGTGTAAGAACATTAGTGATATTTTTTATCTTCAATCCTACAATTCATAGTACAAGTATTGATGGTACTAGAGAGTGGACTGCTTTTGAACTCTATCACACAATGAATCTTCTCATTAATATGTGAATAAACATTCATCTTTTTCAGAGGAAATTAATAGAATGTGCTTGAAGAAGATGTCGAGAAAAGGCATTGAAAAGGGACACTTTTTTTAGTCATTGATTACTTTCCTCAAATTGTTTGTGAAATAACCCACATAATTTTGGATAACTAATTGGAAATGACATGAAATTAAAACGCAATGCATGAGTGCACTTCACAATAGTTACAGAACATAAACAAAATTAGGGCATTTTTGTAATGTCCTAATTTTGAAATCCAATTTAGCGAAGAGACTTATGAATTACATTATTCCATATTTAGTTATGCACGAAACACAAGAAAAGAAAAAAGTATTTTATGAGGACTAACATTTTCTTTCATAGAGAAACTATTTTGCCCATTTATAATTCGCAGAGGGCTTTCTTTTTCTGGGAAAAAATCTCAATGTTATGTCAAATTTTACTTTGTGAGGAATGTTTCTCGTATTTAAGTTTTGCAAGCGAGCATGCTGGCGCTGTGCAATGGCGGCAAGTTTGTGTGCTTTTCTATTAAAAGCTTAGAAAGGTAGAAAAATATAAACAAGTCTTCATTATTATTTCAATACCATTGTTTTCATGTCTGTCTTACTTAGCTCAGAGTATTTCTGTATTATTTACAGTAATCATAATTTCATTAATTCGCATTTAACTATGTAGAGTTGAATTTGCATTTGTTTCTGATGTATTAGACATTTTTATTCATATTTATATAGACATTTACTAACTTGGTACCCAAAAAGTGTAGAATATTTTTCCATGTGTGTGTGTGCAAACGCTGAGAAGGTTGTACAGGAATATTTTATTCACGAGAAAGAAAATGCAAATTTTCAATCTATAGTTATTGCTTTAAAGATGTAAACTGTATTTTTATGTTTTGTAGGAAATAATCTATGATGTAAGAATAAATAGATATTGAAGTAGGGGAGATCCGGGCTTGTTGCGACAATTTTAATCTATTTAACTTTTGAAGGACTATGGACCATAATTTAAAACGTATAATAAATGGAACAAATAGAATGGCTATTTGCATAAATTTCCATATAATTGTGTTTAAAATATACAATATTTTTAATTAAAAAGCAACAATTTTATGCAGAAGAGCCCTTTGTCTCAACTTGTCCATCTACGGGGAAAGTTGTGACCAAACTGGGGCTCGTTGTGACACATGTAAAAGAATCTAGAATATTGTTATATTCAAATATAACAAACGTCTCTACAATGCTGTTTCATTAATATGCTAACTTTTATTCAATCTGTTTTCAACGTTGTTTTCAACATCCGAATAGCAGTGAATATAAACATAATGTACTGCATTTTTAGTACAGTTTACATGAGTCCATTTCTTAGAAATTCTTCACTTCACCCAGTTCTCTCCTCCCTTTGATGATTGAAATAGTTCTAATTAAACAAGACATTCTTCCTCATCTTCGGAGCTCTCGGACACGCCTTTTTTTCTTTTCCGAAGCATTAGATCTGTGTCTTTGCTTACAGACACAGCTTTTTGACAACAAGCTTGTATTTTGGTTTTCCTTCCTTATTTAGTATAGGTCTTTTTTACAATCTTCCTTGTTACTGTAATCGAATTATTTCTTTAAAAGAAATGCTAGTTAAATGGCAGATTTCAAAGTCTTTGTTCTCTTGCCGTTGTTCCTCGAGATCCTGATTTAGGAAGACATCTGATTTTCAAAGGACTAACCGATGCTGTGGGCAATCCTTCTTCTATAACAGAAACAGCAATATTTTCTTCTCTGTAATTAGGAGCTTGACCTGTTGCTTTTACACTGTTCCTACGTCAGTTTCATCTGATCCAAATGTCATTTACACTGAAACAGTATTTTTCGAAAACGGGCCAAATGGTTGAAAAACATCTCAATATTGTATTTATTGAAAGTTGTGTTTCGATTCATATCAGTAGCTTCAGAAATACGAAGAGAAATTGTAGTGTGTCACTGCATATACTTCGTCGTCCAATCAACATTTGCAGACTTCATTATCCAATTTTTTGTCACTTAAATTGTGTTATCTACGGCAAAATCTATTACGCTTATCTTCGTAGTTCTTCACTACATTTCCTGACCACACACTGCATTACTATCAAACGATATTGGGGCAAGTAATGACACTGTCACAACGTGCCCCTTAGAACCTGTCACAACGAACCCCGAGAGACCCTAATATGAATTTCCGTTTTCATTCCTTGTTATTTTGCCATTCACAAAAACAAATCAAACATCAAATTATAACTTAAAATATTTGTTTAATGACACTGAGTATTAGAACATACTTTACCATTATTGTTGTTAAGGTTGATTGTAACTTTGTGTAAAATAAAAAACGTTCGTAAATAAGCAAACGAAGCAAAGGTTTCCTATCAAATCGAAGAGCAAACTGAGGCAACGGTTTGAAACGTGCATGTAAACTATCACGAACAGTGCACTATTGGATCGGTCAGTAAACACTATGTCACAACTTTCTCCTGTTAGCTCCGGTCTCCTCTTTTCCTATTTTACGCATTGTATGAAAGTAAGTATTACTTCTGTGATTTGATTCTCTTAACTTAGAGAACGAACTTATGAATCATTCATATTTATTTTATTTTAGTTAATTGAGAGAATTTTACTCTGAAACTTTGTATTTAAGACCTTTAATAAATTTCTTTCTTTCCACATTCGATGTCAAATAGTCTCCATTTTTACTTGTGCACAAGCGTGAAGAAAGATTTTTTGTGCTGAAAGAGAGAGAAGCAAAGTGCAGGAAATGTGCATCAGTGCAGCAGAGGAAAAGTGCAGGAAGAGACAAGAAAAATATAGGAATGAAGATGGTGGCATTTCCATGATCAATTTACCAAGAACAGAAGGTCAATTCAAAGTGGAAAAGTAATAGAATTTATTCAGTCTCAGAATGAATATCACAAATCTTTGTGGTGTGAAGCCTGCATGCTGTCTTAGATGGTGCATATGAGACACTTTGAATACTGTAGAGTGAAATTTGGAGATAATAAATACAGGAACAAAGATAATCACTCCACACTCATAGGATGTGTCTCGTTTAAAAAAGCAGGAATTAACAGTGATGTGACAGTCCACAAAGCAATAGATTATTGATCAGTTGTCATGTGATAACTCATTATTACTACTTCTAAACCTACACTTATTTAACTAATAACAAAGATACAGCTACATGTCCCTGCGCATGACAGATATGTACATTTAACTTTTACTGCATATCCATCAACTCATATTTCAGTGTCTTTTTTAGTTTATGACACAGAATATTGCAGGCACAAAGCATTCTTAAAACATAGTCAACATTAGAGACACATAATACATACATTCAATATAAAACAAACTAGTTGTGTTTACTCTAACAATCTCCCATTCACAAGGAAAATCATTCATACATGTGGCCTCATTTTCAACTAAGAAACTAACAATCCGCGCACAACATACTTGTATTTACAGTAGGTTTGGTCAATGTCATGAGTCTACACTCAAACTAAAACATGATGAGGTCATGAGGTGAAATTGGCAATGAAACTCTTATTTACATGCCAATAAACAATACTATGTTTTCATGATATGTACTGATTATTTTTATGAATGTTTAGAAACTGAATAGTACAGAACCTAACAGGAAAATGTGGTTCAGTACAAGAGTATCACATTTACTTGAGAATATTTACCCTATCATTAATGTTTTGGAATATGATTTTGAAAAATTCATTTGACAACATTGTTTTTGGGATCACATACTTCTGATTCTTTTACTGGAAAAATTGCAAACACAGAAAGTTTTCTAGATTTTTCTGTGGACTGAAATAGCCTAATGACAATGACCATGATAAACATAACAACAACTGTAAACAACACAATTAATACCAGAAGATTGGTTATGGGACTTGGCCTCATTGGGAACACTTCAATGTCCATAGAATTCATTTTGCTGTCATAAATATGGTCTTGCCAAGATGTCCACGTTCCATTGTGGTTGGCTGGATTCGCACGTGGATCTGCTGGAACATTGTTTGGAGGAACAGCTGTTCTCCTGTATTTTTGAAGACTTTCTTCCAAACTCAAAAGAACCAGGGGCCGTGAATTTGCCAGATTGGTTGTTTCACAAGGGTCATCACGAAGATTGAATAGACACGGGGATTCTTTAGGCCGACATTCCATTTTTATGTCAGCAGGGTGGTTGATTTTGCATCGGACTTCAGATTGTTTTCTCAGTGAAAAGATACTGGACTCTGTCAGGAGCTTCAAGCGGTTGTAACGGGTCTTGCCTGTGAAATGAAAAAAATATTGATGAAGAGATTTACTAATGTTCCTCAAAATACAAATTAGGAGAAGAATGCTTCAAAATGAACTGAGTTCAATTAATTATCGTCTAAAGAAAACAATATGTTGCAATTTACCTGGTGTTAGATTACTTTTTTCTGCCTCTTTCTGCTTGTTTTCCAGTTTTTCTTTCAGCTGCAGTTTTGTGAGAAGTCCAGCAATAACTACTCCAGTCTTTGAACGAAGAACAGATTCTGATCGGTAGAATGGAACTGCAGGACTATCATGCCCAGATTCACCATACCAATTATCCCATAAGCCAGTTGTTGTTCCTAAGAAATGAAACATTTATAAGTACCATAGAATCGCAGTTTATAACTTATGTTTTACTGAATGGATATCTCAAAGCCGTTTGCGATCGTTTTGCAATAGTTTTAATTAATTTTTTCTTCGTATGCATTATTATAAACAATGCATTGTATATTCTAGAATTCAATCCATTAACTACTCTTTCTCATTGGAAATATTAAATTTTTGTTGTCAAAAAGTACATAATATATTTTTAATACCTGTAATATATTTCCAATCACCCCGGGTCAGAGCAGCATAGTTGTACTTGTCATCAATGTTGTGTAGAACTTCAGTGCGAGGGGATGTTTTGTTCTCAGTAAGTGCAGCCCACATATCAACTCCATCAATGTGTCCTAATTCTCTGACATCCATACCTAAAGGGCAAGGAGAAAATGTAAAAATGGTATGTTTACAGCAAAAAGTGGTATATTTGGAAAGAATATGAATTTGTGCACAATATTTGTAGCTAGAAATGTTAGCATACAACAATATTTCTCTTAATTTCAGTTTTTAAACGCATTTTCGCAATTTCAGTTAATACAAATAGAAACCGAGTAACTAATAGATCAACAGCAGTAATGCACTAGGGTAACAATAATGTAATGCCAACAATGATTACTCACAATTTTTGCCTTATTAGTAAAATACGTCAATTAATATAAAATATTTGATTCTAATTTGACGGTTCTTTTAGGTGTTGAGTGTCATTACGAACCTGGTTTTGTAATATTTTTAGGAAGGGCCAAGTTATTAATCCTTCCTAAATATTTTAGAGGTACTTTATAAAGATAAGTAACATGCATTGTTGGCTTTCTGAACGAGAATATATGATGCTATTTTATTTCTGTTTAACGAATCCGTAATTTGGTAATGGTTTGACATAAAGTGAAACTTTGTTTTATTAGAGGGAAGACTGCACTAAGAATAAGCAGTAGCTCAAAATAATACACACCAGCAGCAGAGTAAAATGTCGGTAGCCAATCTGTCATGTGCATCATTTGATTGGAAACACGTTGAGGATTTTTGATCAAGGGGCTCCAGATTGCTGCCACGCCTCGAACACCTCCTTCCCAGGGACTGTGTTTTTGCTATGGAAAAATTGTTTCATTAGTAAATTAGACAATGCAATTTAAATAAAAAATCAGAGCGACAGACATAAACAAATAAATATAATATATAGTTATGTATACTTACTCCACGCAGTGGCCAATTTGAGCCTCTGTTTGAATGAATGCCGTATGTAGGAGCTCCATTATCTGACATGAAGACCACAATTGAATTCTCCAACATTCCTTTATTTCTCAGGGCTTGCATTACTTCACCAATAGACTGATCTAAGCGTGACACCATAGCTGCATAAACTCGTCGTTCTGGATCTTCAATATGCCCAAAACGAGCAATATCTTCATCTGGAGCTTGGAAAGGATTGTCGTAATTTCCAGTATGCGGAGCCAGATGAGATAAGTACATGAACAAGGGACCTTGCTGAGGATTATGCTTGTTTATTATGTCGACTGCTTCATCAGTGAACAATTGGGTGGAGTATTTTCCTGCGGAACTGTAATCTATACTCATATTGCGCCTCATATCGTAACCCTTGTAAGGGTCGACCTAGAACAAAAAAATATAGTTGAATATGTTTTCCAATACAGTAATTATGACTTTTATTAATATATGCAAAATTAGTGTAACGGAAGACTTACAGTTGCCCGCATGCTGTGATCATAATAATCTTGGTATCCATTCCAATAACCAAAATGCGAATCAAAGCCACGATAAGTTGGGGTGTACTCTTTTCGGAAGAAGCCTAGATGCCATTTTCCAATAGCGTGTGTGGCATAACCGGCTCTCTTCAAATGCTGTGGCATTATACGTTCAGAAAGAGGTAATCCCCATGGTTCAGGTGCAAGGATCACAAGATGCTGCATGCCTGAAGAGAAATATGTGTTAATTTTAATATCAAATGTTATTTCAAAGTTTTCTATAATGGAGACATGTAATAATTTGTGACTATTAAAAGGAGAGTAAATCAATTAACATACCAGTATGCGTGGGATATTTCCCAGTCATGAAGGCAGCTCTCGAAGGAGTACAAAGAGCGGGGACGTAGTGATTGTTTAGAATAACGCCATTGTAGGCAAGGGCATCTATGTTGGGTGTTGGGATCTGATTAGACCCATGGAAGCTAACATCATTCCAACCCTAGAAGAAAAATGTACCTTAGTATTGATTTAGCAGACACAGAGCGAATGCTTTAGTAAGCATGTACCAAAATCAAGGAGTATTTTCTGTGGTATACGTCACAGGTTTATAATATTTTTATTATCGAGACATTTAGTTGCGAACAATAGAAAAAGGCGCAAACCGTATGAATTACACTGCAAACACATTCAGTCATAAAACGAGTCTTACCAAGTCATCTGCCAAAATGACAATTATGTGCGGCCTCCGGTTGGGCGGTAACTGGGACGTAACCCCAACCGCCAGCCAGACTGCCAGCACTAGCCAGGAAGAGGGACGAAACACTGCAAACATGATGTTCTGCCTGTAAACATACAATAAAAACAAACATACAACAAAACATACAAAACAACTCGGCATACAATAAAAATTCCTCAACTTAGCCTGGTATTAGAATACTGGAGTATAGGATCTTATTCAAGAGAAAAATGAATTGAATCAATGAAAAAAAGCTTCTGGAATGGCTTAATATATCTTTGAATTCACTTCTCTGAATGCATTCGTTAGTGTTTTCTTGAAGACGTAAAATTATTTTTTTAAGGTTTATTAAGTAAATTAAGTATTATTAAATAATTTAACAAACGAGAAATAATTACTATGAATAAGCAGAATTAGCGGTAATGACAATATAATTCAAATGCAAATTACCGCGGTGTTTTAAGGAGTATGTTAACGAAAATATCGCAGTCAATAAGGCTATTAATTGACTCAAATGTTATTAACAATTGGAAGTTAGGTTATTATGCACTATACGTGAGTCAAATCACAATAACTATTATCTGCCATACGAAGATTTAATGGTTTAACATGATGTTACTGGTAGTTTGTGTTCGAAGTCTCAGCGGTGCGGGATAGGCAACACTCATGCCTTCTGCGTATGGTGGGCGGCCTACACTCGACGGTGGCGTCGTACACCAGAGACAGTGAACTTCGTCATTAAATGATTACCACAGTTTGCGTATTCATAATTCAGATATCGATAACTTTTACGGACGTAAACGAAATATAACATTGTATCCACGTTGTCAGGTAAGCTTCCCGACTATAGTGGGCTCATTTGATTCATTATGTAATTTTTGCTGGCGTCGTCTCTACTACTTCAGTAAATTGCATTCTCAAATGTATGTTTAAACAAACTTTGTTTTTTGATATTCTTATCCGTATTAATGAAAGGTGGTATACGTAATTAATATTTAGGTTTATGTATTTTTGATTTTCATTTTATATAATTACACTTTGAAATTGTGAAATTTATCTATATTAAATTCAAATTATTTTCAGCCTACAGTAATAGAAATGTACCAGTCTGTTCATAAATAATATTTATGTCCCTTTGAAGTGAAAAAATGCAAAGCTTCTAACACATTTCTGTTAGTATTTATAGATATCGTAGTGTATCAGAATTATGTACCAAAGTCATAATGAATTCTAACTTAATAAGCAATGATAAAAGAGAACAAAACTGCACAACATAAGTCGTTGAATCAGGATAGTGAAAGTCTAAAACACATTCCTGTAAATTGAAAATTTGAATAACTTTCTTGAATTCTAGTATTCTTCCAAGTTCAGTGGTTATTGAATTAGCCCGTTATACACAGAAATGTTTGTCTAGATTATCAACATTTTCCCAAGGAATGTCTTATTTAGTAGACAACAAATTGAACTACACGAGAAGAAATCATTTTGTACGCAAGTTCAAAACACGCAGGGTGAAAGTTATGATCAGCAGTACACAAGAAAAAAAGTTGTAATCCAAAACCGAACACGCAGAGAAACAAATATGAAATAAATAAACCCATTACATTTGCGAAAATTGCGATATTAGTTTCTCGACACACGTCCAATGTTTATTACCAAACACATTAATTAATAAATCCCGAAATGCTGGAGATATTCTAGGCTAGTAAAATAGATGGCGCGTCTGCACAAATTGTTTCGCATTGCGACGTGAGGGGGTGGCGGGGGCGCGGAGCGCGCGGCGGCCTAGCGCCGGGAAGCGGAAGAGAAACCTCAGCGGCGCCGGAGGCTCCAGCGCCGACTCCGACTCCGGCGGCAGCCCCTCGCGGAGCGCGCAGCCAACTTACGGGTAGCGAGGGCGCAGGCAAGCGGCGTCGACGGTCGTCGACGCTCCTCGTTGGCCGGCGACGGCGACGAGCGACGGATCGGTGCGAGAACGCCTTCGGAGCGTGGGGTCGAGAGGCGTCGGTGCGACGGCGGCGTGTTGAACCCCTGTCTGTATGTCGCCGACGTCCACGTCTGTCTGCACTTTCTACTCCACTGGTGGCCGCCATGTGCTCGCGGCGCCTATATACTTGAGCAGCCTCCTAAGCCCATCCCCG